CCCGTCTACCCACTGTTACCAGCCCCCTGGCGGGACAGGAATTCGCTCGTAGGTTCTTGTTTTCCGGTCGCGTCGTATTACGCCCGAGCCCGTGTGCATGCAAGACCTCGCAAAAATCGTATTACAGGCAGAAACAAGTGATTTCCCCGGCGATGGTAACGGGAAAATGCGAGACGAAATTGCTCCTTTAGGAGGCAACCCCTTTCCCCAAACGGAATCGCATTTCGAATCATAAACGTGTAACTTGTGTTTATTGTTGTCAACGGCGCGATGGTAAAGCGAGATGTGGTCGCGCGAAAATGGAACGTGATTGTAGTGCGACTAAACGTGAATGCATAGGACGTTTGAGATTTGCAAATTGAAAGTTCATTGGTGTTTGGCGTTGCTCAAGTGTGTTTTGGGAATATACGATCATTAGGATTTGAGGTTAACGTTTCCTTGTCTGTTAAATATCCAATATGAGAAGGAATATTTCTTTGTTAATGTTAGGTAATATTGTATTTATTGATTAAATGTTAACATTTGTAGATCTAGACGTTGGGTAATTCACTTTTCGCGCGACTTTCCGAAGAAACGTTTAATGGATGTTTTTGAAAAGGTTTAATGGCCGTCTTTAGAATGTATAGCCGACTCATTCGTTTTTCTTCTAAGCTTTTTGGACGATCAATGGGCACCTAAGAACTAAATCTTCCACGTACCCACAGGTATCCTGATCCTATTCCTTAAAAACACAGCCATGGCGCTCGTGGGAGTTTTACAAAATTCGATTTGCTTTTTCATCTCTCTTGGCTATTCTTTTTCACTCTCCTCGGCTCGCTGGAAACCGAGGGATGCCATTACGGCAGATGGTATGTGTAGATGCGCACAAAATTGTATAAAAGTCCTGTACATTTCTGTTACCTTCATTTTGAAATTTTTACGTCGTGCGGTATATTGACAGGTAGAGAAAACGCAAAATCGAAAAATTCAAGGAGATATCCGCAATTATAATAGAAATACGAAGACTATTAAATACCAACGACCGCTTATATCAAACAATCTTAATCAAGTATTATTCGTACAGACATAAGATTAAACAAATCTTATTAATATTATCAATCGTTTTCAACCTCTCTACGAACAATATTAAACATTAAGAATATTATCAGGAAGTAATATTATATAATAATATTATTAATATTACACAGTAATATATTAGAATATATTACAAATACAGAAAGAAAGTGAAATTCTTATTATTATTTATTTACTATAATCCACATATACTTTGTATTACTTATTTCTTCGAGACGTTTGTAAGCAGACAGTAAAATGGCAATTATAAATAGAGGTTTTATTTATTAATAATTCGATTAACCGCGGTGCAACACTTTCATCCAGTAATAACGCTGCGGTGATTGGGGTAGAGAGGAAGCCAACGTCAGACTATATTTTCCTCGTGGGCCAAAGGTGTCTAGAGGCTATCAGACGGAAAGTGATGGCGCTAGACACTCCCCGAGGCCCAGCGGCAAACACCTCAGTTAGCAATGCGAGGCTCGAGTGCGTGGCATAGTCACCGTCGTAATATTCCGTCCAATTACGCCAATAATCTGACGCTTCCATCGAATGACATGACGCTCATATAATAGTAGATATGTGCCCTTCAATATATGCATGTCGAACGATACCACCTCCTAATTAGCCGTTGATGGCCCGACAGACTTTACAAATTGATTAACGTTTTCGCGAACGACCTGCGTGCATGCTTAATGAGACTTTAGACGTCACACTTTTTAATGGAACTTCTTTTATTTCATCTTCGATAGGAGTATTTTCCACTTGACCCGACGGATATTAAAATTATTGACATTCAGTACGAGAATTACCTTTTGATCACGGAAGATCTCATCTGTATAAAATGACAATATTTAAGTTCGGGGAAGGTTATGAAGCTAAAAAATCGAATGCCTTTTATTTTTAATTAAAAATGTACCGTTTGACACGATTTTTAATTTGATCGAGACGAAAGGAGCAGTAGGAAAGACTAGTTTGATGTTTATTTCAGAGGTGATTTATTTAAGATGATTGTGATGATATTGATGATCTAAGAGAAATAACGAAATGTAAATCGGGTGTAAAAATTAGTTTAAAGAGAGCATACGACTTGCTTCTGATAGCTTAAATATCGTAAAATGTTGATAAATATGTATAATATGTACGTAACCTTTGTGTATTGTGATTGTGACGATTGAAAGAAAAAAACGTCGAAAGAAATTCTTTTGTAATTGGTAGTAACAGATAATACATTCAAATAAAATTGTTTATTATTGATATATGTATCTCTTGCGTCAGTCACGTGCTCATATAATAGCCTGAATTGTGTCCCCGGTAAATCAATTTCCCTTCGTTCCTATTTTCATGATTGCAATGTTTATTATTAATTCATGCCATTGGGAAGAGAGCTGCAATAAACTATTTTCATTAGTAATGACGTCATTTCATCAGTATAACAAAGTTAATATTCCAATATTAATCATTGTTTCGCTACGAATGAAATTTTAGAACGATCTAGTCTTTCGATTTTATAATATTCTACGCTTATAACATGTTCCGATTCAATTTCTTTGCACAATCCATTATATCATGAAAAACGTTTACTCAAGTCACACACAAATCGCAAGTTTGTTCGGAAGCGGTCCAATTTGATCCCTGAAATAAATATGTCTTAAATTAAACATGCCGGCAGCGTGTTCCTATTATTTATTAATCAACCGAAACAAAATCAGATAAATCAATATAAAACAGAGGACTATTAATCACGGAATACTGCGATAAATAAAGACCAAGCAATTAATTCATCTGAATTAGTACATTCCACGTGTGAAATTTAATTACGGAGCAATTTCGATGGGGAGTTCTCAATTACCCCGTTATACGCTAACACCTATAATATTACTTGAAATATAATATTAAACCGATAATAATCGAATCGCTTAAAAGTCGTTTATAAAAATTACATTATTTTATTAAAGTCTCAGCTAACGGAGTAAAGAAAATAGGTGCTACCTAATTCCAGCTTACATCCATTCGATCGACAGATGTACGAGTTTGCATGAACACCGTCGGTCTACATGAACCACGTGTGCCAACGAAACGAAATCTCCACCGGGAAGCATTACTCGATGAAATACACGAATGCAAAATCGTCCCCCTTAATCCCCCCTCTTCTCCACGCGGGACACGTAATGATCATTACATTTCTCCGATTGTTCGCGAGCAGACAATCGCGTAATGCGACCAAGTATCCGTCCGTCCTTTTTTCTTCCTTCTTCTCCCTTTTTTTTTCACCGCGCAAAAACGATTCGACGCATACATATTTATCAGTGACAGTTTATACGGCAGAGTTAGGACGAGACGCAAGCTTCGAAAGCTTTCTCTGAGCGTCTGAGCCTGAGTATACCTCGAGGGCAATGAAAATTTAAATTAGAACAGAAATTAAATCCGGCCTTTATCCGATATTGAGAAAATCCTTTGAAACCGACAGACTGTCTGACGTCCCGCTTCCCTGTACATCTTTGCCCACTAATGCGTGTCTGTGTTCGTGTATGTGCACGTACAGGAACAGAAAGACAGAGAGACCGAGGCAGACGAACCGACAGACAGGTAGTTGGCGAGAGAAAAATTGAGAGATAGAGAGAAGAGAAACGGAGAACCCGTATCGCATTTCTCACCCTGTCCATAATTAGTAATTAAGAAAGTAATTAGCATCGATCTACACTACTTCCCCGGATAGGGCCATGTTCTTAATTTACCGTGCTGGTTTTAGATCACGCCGTCGCGACAAACAGGAGAATCTTGAGTCAAGCATCGCGTTTCCCTCGCGTTACGTCAGACGTCGTATCGATCTCTTCTTTAATTAGGAACAAGAAACCTATCGCTCGCCGGAATACTGCGCGTTCGCTTGAAATTATGATTTAATTCGGAGATCGGTGTAACCATAGATATTCTACGAGTTCCTCGAAACTGATCGTTATTTCGGTACATTCTGAAGTTTCTTTTGAATTTTATGGTTTTCCGTGTGTGCGGTTCAATTGTGCTAGAATGTAATTGATATTAGCGAGGTACAAATTATAATATTACGGATTTAGAATGAATTGAATTATTATTTAATGTCTGAACGAGTTATTCACTTTATTAACTTATTGATAATATATTCTAATCGTAGTGTTTGAAACGAAGTTAATTCATTTTTTAAATACATTTCTTTTAGATATATTTATTTGAATGTGCTTTTACGTTAAAGAATGTACAACAATGAATTCATAAAATAAATAATTGGAAAATTCGGAACCTTCAACGATTGTCTAACGAGGTCACCGAATTCCACTCGATAGTTCCATCTTTATTGATATATTAATGACAGTACGCCCAATTGCAATTTCTGAAACTAATTTAGCCGGGGATATTCTGCGATTGCTTGTTTGCCTGACATAGCACAAATTTCAATTGCTGTTTGAAGTGCAACGTTCCCTGATTGGAACTTCCGCGGCCCGATTTGTCGAACACTTTCTTCGACAGGTCGCAGCCGAATGATAATTTATGGACTATCGCCTTCACTCGAAAGGGAATTACCTGGTCGTATATAAACCTATAAATACTGTTATGCAACGTTCCCAATCCTGTCACACTAAAACAACAATCTCCAATTTATTCAAAGGTATTATCATAAAATGAACATAAATTATTTAATACTCGTTTTCATGAAGTTTCCGAATGTTCAAACATATTTTCTTCGTTAAAGTTGAATCAATTATAAATCTCTCCATGTTCGATGAGAAAATTCGATGATAAAATATATATTAGATCGATGAAGGGGTCAGCGACTTTCATGAAAATTGATTCTGAGTCTTCAATTTTATTCTAATACTACGTCTGGTGTACGTTGCCGCAGGTGACAGCCAACCAGCGACACTTATTGATGGATCAAAATATTTGACGGTGTCTGATTGATCAGAACTCACCACTTTCGCCGTTATAATTTATATTCGTCCCATCCTCTCTGCGCCACATGACGTAGGGCTCCGGATATCCGGAAGCTTTACACGTCAGCGTCACGTTCGAACCCTCGCGGACGACCATGTCAGTGCTGGTTTCTTTCGAGATAATGGAGGGTGGCACTGCAATAAGAAAGAAATGCGAAAATGGAATTGATAATGTTCTCCTTCAGCCAATAAAGTGATGAAATTCCCGACTTTGAGGGCGCGCTCACCGATGATCGATATTAACTTAATACTTTAATATTAATGTTCGATCCGAAAGAGGCGTGCGCTGCCATTCATAAAGTAGCGGACAGTTCGCTCCTCAGAGGGAAACGTTGGATAATAGTTCAGACGTGAGTTTTACAAGTTACCTTCCAACTTACTGCCTTTCCCCGGCTTTATACAGAGTTCTCGATCTCAATATCAATCGAATTCTGTTAAAAATGATTTCAAATAATCTGGATGTCACGATCAACCTCTTGCCTTACAATATCGTGTTAGACTCATGGTGAAGATTTCTAACAGAATGTAACAAATATAAATATAACTGAACTCTTTTGAATTCAAATTACCCATTATTCTTTCGTTATCAACTATTATACTTTAGAGCAAACAAAGACAGAACATGTCTAAAATTTATGTCTTCTTTTCACTAAATTACTAATGACAAACTAGTTGTTTCGATCATAGTTGAGAATGAAATCATAAGTCAAGGGGTTAATCCTTAAAGTGCAACGTCTGAGACATTTTCAGTAAGCTAAGCATTTCTCGGTGAAATTGTGCGGCAATTTTCGAAAGAATTTTAACAATTACAAATGGCACTCAAAGAGTTGATGAATTATGCAGCGTTTCCAATGACTCATTGATTTTGAATTCTGCACGAAAATGGAATATCAGAAATATCTTTTCGTGTGTAATTATATTTGAACGTTTACAATGTGAATTCATTTTTCCAAACTCCTATTCGAGAGATATTTTTCTTAAACCACTGTTGTATTCTATTAAACCTTGAAGCACATTGCTTCTATCTACTCCCACCGTGTAATTATCTCGGTTAACGTTTTATAAAATAATTATCTGCTAACACGGAACTTTGTACCGCCGGATTAATTACGTTCTGCGTCATCGTGTTGCTATTTATTATAGACAGGAGATAGTATCGATAAACTGCCCTCGGAGAATTTGCTTAGTCAAATGAGCAAGGTTTAAATTCGCGGTTAATTAGATATGTCTATAACGAACATTTGCGAAAATAATGTGTATCACTGAAGGGAAATTGTATTCACTGTTTTCACCCAATGATTAAGATCTCCGTGTTCACTCGACTTTGAAATACACTTCACAGATAAAAGCGATAAACGTTGCACAGTCTATTGCTAAATTTTTAAGTTCAATGTCATTCTCGGTTCGGGTAAATGTTCAACGCTGGAGGGGGAAAACAGAAGCGCGTACATATTACTGCTCATAAGAATTTTCTCGCCATCATTTGTCTCACTTTACCAAAAAATACGCGATACTCGTAAAAGAGGTAACTTCTCGCTCGTTAATGGCGATAGAGTAAGTGAAATTTACGATTCCAGTCGAGGAAATGCGGAATAAAACTAAAACGAAAATTAAATATGCTTAAATTACGAGAGCAGCTGCAATATGCGATGAACGAAAGTTTCCCTTCAGTGTTCCATCAGTAACGGGAAAACAATGAAAATCGCAAACCTTTCGACAGGTTGAACAAGTCGATTCGAATTTCTTGCTACAGCTTTTAGTATCGAATTCGCAGGACAAAAAAAAACACGCGGCTGCAAGAATGTTATGGTTCCATTTCGACAACGCTTCGGCCGTTTTTCGGTCGGCGAACGCGGAACAGGAAAATGCAATATTCATTGTGGACTTACCCACAACTTCTAGATAACCCTGTCGGCTCCGCATCGGGTCCGTGTTCACTTGACACATGTACCACCCGCGATCCTCCTCTTGAACCTGCGTTATGTGAAGGGACCACGTACGATGGTCATTGTACGACAACGTTATCCGTGGATTTTGCGTGATGACATTACGGTGGATGGTCAAGATAGTTTGCGTATCGATACGCACCCATGCCACCTAGAACAAACATTCCCGTTGACGTGCCCTGTCCATGAAAATCGCATCTTACGCTACTGCAAAAATCAACAGTTATTTCCTCTTGAATATTTCTTAAATCTCAATTACTAAATTCAAATTGAAATCTAAATTACTAGATTCAAATTGAAATTTAAATTACTAAATTCAAATTGAAATCCAAATTTATTTAAATTATTACGAAAGTATCTGAAAAAAGCGAACATTCCAAGAGTGAACAATATAAAGGATGAAAACAGGAATATGAAAGGCACAAAGAAAATTGAAAAGAATATTCTAGAAAAGCTACGAACTCTACCATCCACGTTGTATAATAACATATTAATATATTCTCCAACGCGGTACACCGTGAACGTTACAAAACACGCAGACGCAAGGACCTGTAACCGACTTCCCTCCTTCGTTCAGCTTTTTACCAACCGAAGCCAAGAAAAAAATGCCGAAAGGTGAAAAGAAAATTTCAGCCGTGGATTGCCCAGGCTTAACTTTCTGCAACTCCATTCGGCCCGGCCAGTTTATCGTTCCCAATTTTCCCGAAACTTCCACGTTCAATTCTTCGGAAACCGTCCGAATACAGGGACCCGCGAAAAGTTTTGCAGGTGTTGGTTTCCCAAGGCAACCAATAAATTTCGTCGAGCTGAAAGTAAGAATTGAAAAAAGCTCGGGATATTTCCCGATGCGCAGTCCCACCTCGCAGAATTGCCTGTACATACGTATGTATTACACACACTCGAGCGTGTGCGCGTGTGCGGGTTCATTCATGTCGGTTTTGCGTTTGCGGAGCTTTAGTCGTCGTGTATACAGGGTGTCTCTACCGTTTTCGGAGGAACCGCGAAGGAAATTTAACACTAGAACTACCAAATGGGTCATTCTGACCCATTTCGTGTCACTTCTTTTGCAATTGTGGAAAAGACAGGCGATTTTCTGAAAAATTATTCGATCAATTGATTGAGATAAATACAAACTGGAATATAAGGAAATTGAACACTAAATAAATGTATTTTTATACATTTTATAAGGAAATGCAGAATAATAAATTTTACTGCTTGGTAGTTCTAGTGTGAAAGTGTAAAGACAAAAGGAAAATGTTCAATGAACGTGAGTTTAAAAGTGTTTTGTTGAAAAATTATATTGAAAATATGAAATAATATTTGAGGCTATTTAACTGTGTCAATTCTACTTGTAAATATTTTTAAAAATTTTTCGGTATTATCTTGCCATTATCACTGATTACCTTCAACAACTATCACTAAACTATTGACAAGATGATTTCAATAAACTCTTGTGTTTAGTAATATACTCATTATCATATTTATCATATTATAATTAGAAAAGGAACATTGCCACTTTCAAATTAATGAGGAAAGAAAGATCAAGAAAAGATGGATCAGTCGCTTACCAGCAAATCTAGCTTGAGTGTACTTTTATATAACATTTTCCCTAGTATTCACAAAGTATTCTTGAATCTACGTTTATAAGAAAGTTTTGTCTCACTTCTGCGTACAATCTGCTAGCGTCGTTATGCAGAACAAAATGGAGCTACTTTATATATATTCACGTGCGTTCCATTCATGGTTTTGCGATCGCGAGGACACCGTATATACGTATGTATATGTATATGTATATACATACATATATATATACACACACACACACACACACGCACATGTGTAATATATATATATGTATGTAACAAACCCTTCCCTTCTTATCGCGCGCTTAATCCAATACACTGGCTGGCTTGTATCCCGTATCCTTCGCGGATCTTCGAAGCCTTCACGGGATACAGAGAATAGAAGGATAAGTATAAGAAGGCTTAGAACCTCACTCGTTTTCTTTCCCTCGTCGCCAAGGTTTTCGGTGCGCGCGGCAGGCTTTTGCGGATCTGCGAAACACGCTCCAAGTTTCCCGAATGCGGTACACGGCAATACCGGCTTCTTCTTAATATGCGGGGGTGCACGGTTACCGATCGATCCGAGCCACGAGGATAATGAAATTTCACCATTTATTTGGAAGATGAAAAGATCTCCTCCGCGCGGACAATAGAGCGAGCCGTTTTGCTAAAAGACTTCGGGAGGGCTGTATATCCTTGCTGTTTTCTATTGCTCGCGCCACATATGCGCCTCGGGATTTAAATGCATGGAAATTCAAATTTTTAAGAACATAATTAGAGAACGGAATTATGATGGAAAATGGTTTTTCCCGCGGAACATTATGGAAAGCATTATACTCTGGATATTTTAGATGTTCTCTCCACATTACGATTATTGTACGGAATCTTGGACATTCAGATTTTTCATGAATGTAGGAAGATCGGTAATCTAATAATTATGAAAATTGATGACGTCTGCATTTGGCTTTTAATTAGATACAAACTGTTGTGTTTTATAATATTTGTATTTTGCTGGTGGTATTTTGTTTAGTGCAAGCCATTTTTATGGAAGTTAGTATTGTATCATTTTATGTGGGCTATTATGTAGATGAAATGTTTTCGAGTCAATTGCCTGAACAAACTAACTTCGGTGGTTGAAGTGCTGATAAGGTGTCTTTCGGGAACCACAAGAGTATCGTAAAAAAAACTGAATGATATGAAATTCTGATGAAGTATTTTAGTGCAGCTTCGTGTTGCGGCAGCCTGAATATGAGACTTTAACCCCCATAAGATGTACGTGCGTCTGACGACCGTACAGCAGCGACGGGTTCATTTAAACCCTTTTTTGTATTTCCTTTTAGACATTTCGGTTCACATACCTTCGAGCAGCATTCGTTTTATCATCGGACTGAATATAAATGGTTATCCTACTATACGAAGCACGATAAACTGAATAATTATGTGAATTCTTTACAAAACCAGGTCAATGTTCATCCAGATAGAACGTCAGAGATGAAAACGTAACATAAAAATAAAACAAAACGAAGTAACATAAATATTCTCTACATCAAAATTTTTGATATTAACGTGAATATCAATATCTCCGTTGATTTGAAAAACATCGTATTTCAGAAATACCAATTTTTAACAATGCATGTTAATACCGATCGATGGAATACTATGAACTCTAATCTATGTATCTTAATATCTTACTCCATCTTCAAATTTTCGAGTGCCAATAATATCATAATTCCCAATTTTCAGGAATACAATAAAATATAAAATCAATGTTCGTAGGTTATGTCAATATGTTAATACTGATCAATGTAATAATATAAATACCAACATATGCACCTTAATTAATCTCTCACGCGACCCTAGAATTTCAGAGGCCAGTAATATCATAATTTCCAATTATCAAGAACTAATTCAGTAAAACATGGAACCAATGTCCATAAATTCAGCGTCCAGGAGTATTCGTTCGATGAGGTAAGCGTGTTTCAAGTTGCCAGTAGTTACGTCTGGCAAGTATCAGCCGTAGGAATGGTAATCCGTAACACGAGGCCCCTTTACGCGCGCTGGGTACACCGTAGGAGGATCGCGAGGGAACCGGTGTGTCGTTATTGTATTACTTTAATAATTCAACGTGACACAGTCCATGATGTATTTCCGCTCGCGTAACGAACGACGTAACCGGCTGAAGTTGACGTTGTTACGAGTCACGGCTAGAATTACCGGGCTCCGTTCCCCCGCGTCAAATTCTCAAGCGGAGCGTAAAAAAGCTCCACTTAATGACGAGCCAACGCGAGCAGCTACTTATCGACAGACGCTAGGTAGTTCGACTAGCTGCGCATCTTGAGCTTAAACGAATCTCTGCCGATCGATGGGAAGGTTCGTTGCGTTTTGGCATTGATTTCATTCACAGTTAGCGACTGCGTTGCTTCTTAACCTCACTGTCAGAACGTCTCTTGTTCTATCGAGGCTACAACAACTGACAAATTTCGTTGCACAGGAGTCCAATTGTTTACAAAACCCCTACTATAAGCAAATTTCTCCTAACCTGATAATTCCGGAGATTGTCAACAATGCAGGCTAACAGAGCGTCCCGGCCTTTGCTGACAGTCACATTCTGTATTTCCTCAGCGAACCTCGGCATGTCGGAATCTGGAAAACACGAAGAAAATCATGTAAGGTTTCATCTTAATCGTAACAGTTTGATCATATTGGAACAAAAATAATGTACTAATTATATCGTATGATATAAAGCATTACTTCCGATTAGCGACAGTGTTCGTTGTGAATAAAGAGTGTCTAAAGATCCCAACGATCACAAAAGATATTCTAAATTTTCTAAAGATAAAATACAATAAAGCAAAACGCTCCTCCCGAATATGTCAATAGTGTACATTAAGTGAACAAATTTCCCAGGAGCGGCATGAATCACTGGATATACTCCAGATTTCCCGAAGATAAAAGCTATCGCGTTAAAGTATCTCCACTTAAAGCGTCATGCATTAGAGCATCAGCGCGAAAGCGGGCTAAACTTTCATTATCGGATGGCTCGAGCGTATGGTCGCCCGGCAAAAAGAGAAGGATCGCGGCCGCTCGATGGTAAATACATATATCGTTGAACAATAGACCGTCCGGCAGAGATTGCGAGTTATTATCGTAAGAGCCGCATAACGAGTTCAGGATTCAGCCGGGCCGACCTTAAAAGCTTTTACCTTCGTTAATGTCTTTACGACATCCTGAGCACCTGAATTATTTATGGGCGCAAAGAACCTGAGGAGAACGAGAAACAGCGGGGAACGCGGTGGTGAGCGGCAGGATGAGCATGAGAGAAGGCTGACGGCGGGAGGGAGAGGAGGGGCGAAGGGGTCGATAGAACAGAGAGGAAAATGGAAAGTGAGCGAGTCGCGAAGCGAGCTTCAGGATAAGACCGAGTTGCTTTTAGATCTTTTCAGTATTTACAACGCCACGGAATGCGGGCCGCCATTAATTATGTCACTCGTGCTTTATTATGCAACAGTTCGGTCACGTTAATTATGATATTTGAAACGAACGCGAACCTACCAGTCGGAGCAAGGGGAAGCTTCGCGTGTCGGCGAACAGATTTTTCGCATTGTCGTTTGCCGCGTATCCTCTCCTTCGGCGAGAATAAGTTTACCAAGAAATGAATATTCACGAACGCACGGAATTTTCCCTTCAACCAATGTAAATTCAATGATACTTGTACCTATTGAATTCTATTTGGATTTTTCATTTTTAGTTTGGCTCTGCGTTGCGATGTAGAGTCGATGGTCTGACACGTTTGGTAATGTCATTTGTTTTGGAGATGGTGTTTGTAGTTTAAATATTTTATTCAACTTATGAAGACGATATTGAATATTGAATATTGAAAACGAGTTTATCGGTCTATTGATATTCTTAACCATGATGTGTCTTGTAGCTTTAAATGACATTATTTAGATTGATGTCTTTAAATCACTGTAGAATATCTTTACCGTTCAGCTCATTTTCGCCGGTTACGCTAATGAAGTTTTAATTCGAGATCCGCCGTCTGCCCGGAGAAATTTCCGATCGATTTCTTCCGACAACGAAGTGGACGTCTGAATCGTTGTCAATGAAGGACCGTCGGACCTGCTACTTCCGCTAACTGGCTTCCACGGAAAATCAACAGGTTTTCCATTCTGACTGGCGCAATACACGGCCATCGAGATTCAGAATCGATATTTCAATTCATCACCGGCCACCATCGTCGTCTCGTTTTCGCGGTGTTGCGGATTGCTCTCGTCTGGAATGCGGATTCATACGTTTTTACGGAAGTAGAACAGTGTGCACGCTGGCCTTCCAATCTCGAGAGGCGAACAGTTTCATCTATGATGTCGCGCGCGCGCTGTTATTTCGCTAAGTGGAGTTGAAAACTATTTTTCATCGGGGATAAGTGTACACCGTTGCGCAAAAAAGACGAGCCGCGGGCGAATGCAGAAATTGATATGGAGCGCGGGACCTGCGCGTCCTTGTTCCAGAGTCAATTTTAGGAACACCGATTGATCGAGGTAAATGAAATGTGAACATCTGAAAGACACGTTCCCGTATTTTCACCGAATTTTATTCGCTCGATGGATTTAAAAGGGTGTACTTAATTGAAAATGTGAAAATGTTCGACTGCTATTCGATTTCCCATGTTCCTTGTATTTTTTGTATGCTCTTATATATAAAGATTAATTCAATTTTTGGAAACTGTGCTCTTGAAAATGAAAGGACGCGAGCTGAACAATGCTAATTAGTTTCTCTGAAGGATAATCATAGACGTAATTTTTATGTTTGTAGATTGTTATACCTCTGTGATATTTATATGGTAATTAGGTGATTGTTATTTGGATGTTTACTGATCTACACTAGTTTATCGTGATTCGTTATGTTTTATATTATTATTTACTCGCATTCCGACTGCAAAATGCTGCAACAAACGTCGTTGTGATACTTTCTTTCTGTGGTAAGTTCTGTATTAAAAATATTATGAACTTTACATTCGCAGTTGGTAACTTCGTTCACAATTGAACGTAAGTTCCTCGGGTCGTGTGTGTCACGTAGCGGATTAAACGCAACACGAAGAGGAGATTTAATCCTTGTATTTTCAGCTATAGGGCCTAGTTAATGATATTGTTAAAACTGTGTACGACGCACTGGTGCACACCGCGAAACAGTGATAAGAAGTTTCTGATAATGTAATACTGTTACGCTGCAACCAGTTAATTCAGACAACTACTGTTCTACCGTGGTTCTTCGAACGTTGTAGACTTTTCTGAATTACGGTATTAGAATCCGTTATGAAACATTCAATTTTTCCCTTAAAATTCAGCGTGACTAATTACTTTCAACTGAAAATAACATGAAAATATTAATACTGAACAGTAATTAGCAAAAATAAATAAAATATTATAAATCGTAAAATAAATGAAGAAATATTCATATTCTAAATTAGACAAATAGAAAACAATAAATTATGTGGAAAGTAATAAATACCTATGGCAATTCTCTTTTGTTACGTCATTTGCGATTAGCAATGCGTGAGCGGAATACAATACAACTATTGTTACGGAAGCAACTCTCAGCATTACTAGTATTAATGACGGCACGCATTAATTGCTGCTGATTACTGTGAACATTAATTAAGCAGACCAAATAATCAGGCTGAAGAGTACAATAAATGGTTATCCATCGACAGAGGCAGAATATTTTAAACAAATCTCGAGTTGCTTCGTTCAATTTAGATACAAAAGGAAAACGCATGTGCAACTGCACTCGATATTATTAAAGCGAAACAAAAGATGAATCCTGATTACGGTAGCAAGCCATTCTCCATTGTTCGATCAAAATCCCTGCTGCGCGGCGTTTCTAATGAATATGTACCCCCGATGATATCGGTTTCGCGGTGCAAATCACGATTCACTTATTAAATGGTATTAAAGCGAGCGATTGCAATTTCGGGGAGGAGGAAAGAGTGAACTTTCATCCTGGATTAACTCTTAAGCGCTACAGGCGGTCCGTCAAGTCGCTCAAAATTTTAATTGAGATGCAATTTGTTTCGCGGATGACTTACAATGTTGATACTCCATGTACATTTTAATTCCAATATAATGTTCAATCATTGGAGTTATGGATAATTCGGGATAAATATTTAATTCATTATGAATCATTTTTTTTCTATTTTAGCATTCATTTATAATTCGCCAACGGACTGAGAGATCAACTGTATGTTAAGAGTTAAATTAAGACTGCTTTTAAACAAAACTTTGAAAACGTGTGAAGATTTTTAATTACACGAATTCTAGCTCTCTATTTTTCAAGCTCTAATTATCATGATCTATATATTACCGAAATTTTTCTAGAAACAACGGAACAAATGTCCATAAATCTAATGCTAATAGTGCACCGATTTCACTTATTAGATATTATAGTTTTCGATTATATTGTAATTAATTCCATGGGTGGAAAGGATCGACAGGGATAGGTAATTAGTGTTCATGATATAGCTACCACCTACGCACAATACGGTAATGGTAATGAGACCGAGAACCGGTCGTAGCAGCCGGAATTCGTAAGCACGTTCCCCGAAAGTCGTTATCAAGCTGATTAACAAGCTTTGATTAAGGCAAATCTGTGCACAAGTACGACAGACAACGTGGTCGTGGCGCAACCTCAACTATACTAATGCTTGTCTCACGAATTGAAATCGCGACGCGCTGACAGCCACGGCGTGTTACTTATTTGCAGTCGAGTAACTATTAATTAGTCTACGTGACTTCTGACGGCTTCGCGGGTTAATCCACGAATTCTGATAAAATCATGCTACGTGCTGTTCCATGCAATTTATGTATTTATGCATTTTAATATACAACTTAAAGCATGTTCTCGCTGTCAGCGTACAATCAATTTTATTTAATCTTCCATATACGTTTTAAATGCTTCTGTCACGTCCCTCATCAAAATCATGTACTTACGTATTACATAATTCACGGAATTAATTAACAGTTTACAAAATTTATTCAAAACTCCTCGAATATTAACGAGAAACGTTGAATAGCTTCCAATGATATTAAATTACAATAGAAACTGGCACACCAGTTCTGAAGTTAACCCTAATCGGACCACGATGTGACTTTGAGTTACATTTGAACTTTTTACTTAAATTCTTTTATTATTTCATATTGCATTTTCAAAAGTTTTTTTGGCCTTTTAAAATTTGGACCCTATAAACAAAAACAATAACATTTTAATCATTCCTTTCATTCTCATAAGTGACTGAAAGTCACATCGTGGTATGATTCGTTATAAAAGCACGTAGTACGATTAGGGTTAAACACAGTACAGATTCTGTTCTACGGTAGAAAGATATTAATCTCGGTATTAGAATATTTGTTTTGAAAATCAAAGCTTGGTCGGCCAGTTTTACGGCGAGGGTCATATTTCTTTGACGAAGTACCAGACGCCTCGGGATAAAAAAAGACGCTCGGGGCGGGGCACGGTGACAAAGGGGCCACTATACCGGAAGAAAGACTGTATACCAACGATACTTAGTTGTTTGAAAAGCACGCCCGAGCCAGCGGAACTTGACTTAACTTCGGAAACCGCAGGTATGCGGGCAACACTTGGTTCTA